CTCTCATAAATGGGTACAGTATGGCCTTTTTTGAATACCAATGAAACATTCAAAAGTATCATATTCTAAAGCTCATTAAATATATGTGTATTGTTATCAGATTCATATAAATTTTATAGAATACTAGCCCACAGACCATCGAGATGGTTCCAAAAGATTATTATCCCCTAAAAACTTACACTCAGAAATATACTACATCATATTCCTCACCCATCTACCACATGCTTTTCATCCACCCATCAAGAACAATCATAGAGCTAAATAAACTTCCCCATGACTTCTGTGTCAAGAAATACAGCCCACAGGGTAGTGCAACATTTCTCACAGAGGTACCAGAGCAAAGACCCATCAAGTACTTGCCATCTATTTCCTGCGGGCACGCCATCATGATAAATCATGTCCAATATTGTGGGATCTCACTTTAAAGCAGTTATTATTCAATGTGAATTTTTTACAGTTGACATTTGTAAAATATGATAATGTCAACAGGTATTTTTAAAATTTTTCTACACAAAAGATACTGTTAACTGCTAAAGTTTATTTGGTTCAAGAGACCTACTTCCTCTTTGTTGTGTTATTTAGCTACACATTAGCTAGGGGAGTGAAAGTTATTTTCTTTCTGCTATATTTTAAACACATACCATGTAAAACCAAAACAAAGAATAAGAAAGAACCCAGCCCAGAAGAGAAGATGGAGTTTAGTGAAGGAACAGAAGCAGATTAAAGGGGAAAACGGGGTTAGGTAGGAAAGAAGGACAGGATTTGCTGTCTGTTTTCAGGAGGGAAGGTGAGTTATGCTATGTCTTGTTTTGCTTTGTGTGTTCTTTTGAGCATCTAGATGAGTGCTTACATGTACAGTATTTAAACAAAGCAAAATCAGGCGGGGAAATGCAGCAGCAGACAAGTAGTCTTAAAGGAACGTGCTGAGCAGATGTCTGTGGCAGTAGGGGCTTTTGTTTTTTCTACCCTGAGGAGCATCATACAGCAAGGAAATGTCTGGATAAGAAACACAGACTGATAAATGGCTGGGTAAAGTACTGATGTAATTATTATTAAGAAATAGCAAATTTCAGCCAGGATATATACAGAATCATGGTAGACTCATCCACGTTTATTGCTTACTCTTTGTCAGGCACACCGATAAAAACACGAAGAACCAGAGAAGTCCACAGAAGTAACAGAGGTCATGGTGACTTACTGTAGTGGGTAAAGTACTGGGGAAGAAGAGTGAATAGGAACATGAATACATTTTATGAAAATGCAAACTTTATATATTATATAATCAGGGAAATTAGATCAATCACTAGATTGAGGGGAGACAGAGCCCTTGAACTTTGAAAAGTTGTTTTAGACATCTAAAAAATCCTACTTTACTCTTGAGTTATAAATACACCATACCAACACATGAACAAAATAAATGCTGTAGGGATTTTGGTAACTGCATAGATAAAGTACTCCTAATGAGTTGCTAAAGGGAGTTAGAACTTTTTTAGATCAGTCCATAACTTGTAAAGCTAATATACTTTTTATCCTTACACTAGATATTTCTTGCTTTGTCTGTCAGAGTAGGTAAACAGAGAAGGTCTTACACTGTAACATCCTAGCACAGTGCCCGGTGGGATATAGGCTTTGGCTCTTTGCTTGATCGTTGAATCCCTTTTATACTTCAGAGAAATATGTCCTGCTGAAAACTAGTATTGTTGACCTAATAATACCCTAACACTTAATTTGGATGAGAAAGTTATTTGAGTAATGCAGATAATTGTCATTAAGAAATAAGCACATAGAATGAACTGCTATTGGCAGTGGAATATTAACGTATAGGATGCAAGCCTAAGTTAAGACTCCTGAGTTCCACTGTGGCTTCTGCTACTGCTCAAGTAGTAGTCCATTACTTTTGATAAGTAAATTGCCACAAATCAACAAGGACCAAGACAGACAGCTGTCTTAATAGACAGCTGGTATTGCTGCAAACCCATGTTCTTTAAATAAATATTGTTTATTTAAAGACAGCCTGAGAGGAACAGTGGAAAGAGGACAAGATCAGCCTCTTTTCTGTAGACTTGAACACTTTAGTTGTGACCAAGCAGAACATGACCCCTGCGGTTAATCACACCCCCAGCCCTCCTTGAAGGCGAGTGAGTGAGCATCCATTCATTCATCCCTTGTTACTTGAGCAGCCCTTGGGAGCCTCAGCCTCCCACTGCCACCTCAAGTGGTTCCTGAGAGGCTCCTAGGAAGCATGTTCACTTGTATTTTATTACATTTTTGTATAAGATGGATTCGGTATATAATGTACAGATTTCATGTATATTTCACTACAGAATGATGCCTGGAGTCCCATCTTTAATTCATCTCTTCAGCTAGCCAAAAAGAAGCATAAGAATTACTCTTCAAATTTGAGATTTTTACTTAAATTGTTTGCAGTGGCCATGGGTGGTCACTAAGTTGGTGCTCCATGATGGTAGCGATTGTATGTTATTTTTGTACCCACTTCAACTAGCCCAGTGTGGGAAGACAATGCTTATGGAAATGATGACTAGATGATTTGAGGAAGGTATCACTGGGTCACTCCTTAATTCTCCCCTTGGTTTGGTCCATGAAGACATCTTCTGATCACTATCTTTATTTCCCTACTCTTCACAGTGAGGATGGAACACAAGCTTACAAAAGGAGGAAGGGCCCTGTGATAGTTAACTGATTGTGTCAACTTGAGTAAGAGGCTGGGGATACAGCTCAGTGGAGGAAGCGCCTGCCTGGCAAGCAGAAGGTTGTGAGTTCGATCCCCAGTACCGCAAAACAAAAACAAAAACAAACAAAAACAAAAAAAACCCACAAACAAACAAACAATAAAATAAAAAACTTGAGTAAGAAACATCCAGCTAAATTGGATCTGCATAGTTTGAGTATGGCTGAGGGGATTTACTGAGGATAGAAGACCAACTCTAGGGCGGCTGTCACCCGAATAGCATAAAGGGGAAATGAACAATGAAGGCTCACTACTGTTTTTCAGAGGAGCTCCAGTCTCTGCCTTCCCCTTGGATATCATCTTCAGCCTTCCAACGCAGACTCTTCAGCCTCCAGCAGAGATCCTTCAACCTTCCTTTGCAGACCCTTTGGCCTCCTGATAGGGACTCACACGGGACACTGCAGTGAGCTCCAGGCCTTTGACTGGATCCTTCGGATCTCCATCGCGCAGACAGATCTTTTGTGCTCTTCCACATCTGGCTCTGCAGGTGTCCACTGTAAGTCAATCTTGTGAATTCTTATATATTTGTATATCTTACATTAAATCTGTTTCTCAAGTAAGTACTGACTGATAACACACCCATAGACAGAGCTATTTATTTTGTGCTAGCCAATAGCAGAGGAAGTCAATTTTTCAAGCCCAAGTGTTCAAATAACTATTCTTCCTGATGACTTGGTCTGCACTGGATTGGACTGCACCGAGGGTGTTAGCCTATTTCCAGCCACATTTGGCCTCCAGAGTGGCTAGTCCTAGTGGAAACTGCGTTGCTCGCAGCCTAGCTCGGGGTAAAGAGTTCTGAATTCATGTTGCAACAGCGTGAAACCTTGGAGAAGCCACTTCGCCTTCTCAGGTCTCACTTGCTGATTCAATATGAATCTTGTATGCAAGACTGAGGAATACATAAATGCATGGAACATAGCGTCTGGCTGCTTTACACACACATTTTATTTGAGGAGATGAAATGCACCTCCAAAACACTGCTGTCCAAGACAGGGGATGGGGTGGCTTCACAGTTGCTCTTTTCTGATTAACTGCACTCCAAGCAAGAAGAATTACTTCCTCCTGCAATTATACGGGAGGAAATATGGAAGAGAGGACAGCTGAACTTGGGATTAAAAGATGATTAAATTTCATTGAGCAGAAAACTTGGAGAGGGCAGTTCCAGCAGGTGACAGGGCAGGGACAGAGGTGCAGAGCTGGGAAACTGCTAGTTCGGTGTGGCTGGACACGTGGTTTGTGTGAATGGGCTATGGGCTATGGGAGATAAGACTAGAAGCCTGCTTTTCCTATGGCACACAGTAGGCACTTTAGAATTTAATGTCTGCACTGAATAAATGAGGTGAGGAGGATAGGTAGAAAGAAGCCCAGCATGGACACCAGGATCCCACATGTCACCTTGTTCCCAGTACTCTGGGTTCCCTTGAACATGTCACTGGAGAGATGCGCTGTCCTCAGCTGTCACCTGGGGGAAATGTGATCATCCCCACACAGTTCAGAGAGTTACCAAGACAAAGTGAACAACGAGAAGGATAAGCCTCAGATAAAGAAAACCATCATGCCCTGACAGGACTGGACAGGATTGGCTACAGACTGAAGTGAAGTAAGATAGTCTTGGTAACAACAGATGTGAGCACTTTCTTCTAGAGTTCTTATGTACAGTAATATAATTCCTCAGCAGGCAAGAGCAGGTGGGGGAAAGCCAAGACTGTGATTACCTAGATCAACCAAAAACAACAGACTCGCTGGGGATGTAGTTCAGTGGTAGAATGCTTGTATAGCACATGCAATGCACTATGTTCCAGCCGCAGTACTGCAAAAGAAAAAGAATATAACAGTGTCATCGATGGACATATGGAGACAGACAGGTTGGAAAGAGCTGTTCAGTATCAAGTGAAAGACCGCTGAAGCACCTGTAGAGAAGCCAAGAAAGGAAGCCTCCTGGAAGCAGGAGATTGAATGGAAGAATCCAGTGAGCCCCAGGAATATGCTCAGATAGCAAGAGGCTCCTGGTATCCTTCCAAGTCCACACTGCATCCTTGCTCTAGTGCTCCTGATGAGGCACAGGCTGCTATGCAGAGCAGGAAGAACTCTTTTCTCTGCCAGTGACTTACCTGGAGCCAATCTACTTTGGCAGCCAGCCACCGGGGCAGGATGGGTGTGCCTTCATGACAGCTTCTTGGACGAGTCTTGCTCTTTTCAGCCAAATTTCCTGAGCTCTTAGATTTCAAAATGGATTCAACCAGAACAGCCCCATATTTCCCAAACAAAATTTGGTTTGACAGATTCTCTTGTGCTGATCCAAATCAGGTCAGATGCCTGCTGAGACATCTCATAAGCAGATCCCGTTTCTTTTGGTGTTTACACTGGAGGGTAAGAGGAGGCCACCAGGTGGACAGACCCATCAGTGTGGCATGACTATCAAAGCTACAGGGTGGGACAGCAATCTTCCAGAGAGTCTTCCTTGATACTCCTGATCAGAGACACCTCCACGTGTCACCTTGATGACAGGGCGAGCTTGTTTCCTCCAGTGCAGCAAGCTGTCCCGGAAAATCTGGGCCAAACCCCTGTGAGTAAAGTAGAGCCTGAAGGACTCCTGCTTCGGTCTCAGAGTTTCTCCTACACATCTGCTTTCTAAGCCCACGCTAGAGGCTCTTCTTCAGGAGGGCACACAGGCAGTTGCAGGAGAGGGAGTGAAGAAGTAGCCGTGGTTTTAGATGCAGGGATGCATCCTTCTATACTGCAGACACCTACTGCCTTTGTTGCCTTGGCAGAGTGATTCAGAGCCAATTTCAGGTGTCTCTGGGAGATCCTGTGCTGCCTCCTCCAACCTGCGCCACGTTACAGAAATGCAGGAATCACAAGGGAGAATCCAGCCACAGGGGAAGGCGCATAACACTACATCACGGAGTAGAGCTGCCGTTCACCAGGCACTAGCATGATGAGGACCGCCAGCACTGATCCATGGAAAAGAATTAGAGGAAAACAACACTCATCTGGATGGCTTGAAAAATTTGAGTGAGAAAGCACCAGCTGGTCCAGAGAAATTCGTCTGGTCTGGAAAACAATCTCAAGACACTCTCCTTGAAACCTAGAGGTAAAAAATTCTTGTCATTTCCTTGGCGGCCTGTCACTAACCATGTTATTTCAGACGGACTGGCAGGTGCTCATGACGTGTTTCTGCTACCACAAGGTGAATGAGTTTTAGAGAACTGTTTGTGGGAGCTGAGAGTCTGTCAATGTTCAACTACGGTAAAATAAAGACAGAGGTTAGGCCTGAATTCCTACTCCATGTTGACAAGCACAGAGCAACACTGACTCTTTAGCGAGGCTAGCATTTCACAGCAGAGAAGCCATGAGCAGGATCAGCACTGATTAATAATATTCTGGCGTGTAGCAGGGAGGTGGAGTTGTTTGGAAGCTCTGAGAAGCCCTGTCAAGACAGGCAAGAGTCTGAGCCTGGAGGTTAAAGATTTGGATGCTGAGGCATTCAGGAAGATCAAGGTCAAATTAGGTCTGTGAATAATGGGGACAAGGATGCTCTCACAGGACTTCCAGGGACATAGATTAAGCAGTTAGGGATGTGTGGCTATGTCCCACTGTGGTATAGTGCCACATGTTTTCAGTATATGATTTGTTTTTTGTAATGATATATTCACAGTAGACATTTATGCACCAAATGGCATGATTTCCTCCCAATGTAGACTAGGATAAAATTTTTTAGAAACATTTTTTTAAAAATCATCATTGGTAGCTTATAGAATTGGGAGATATAAAGTAGATCCCCTTAGCTTTGTGGGATGTGTTCCAAGGCCCACCATGGATGCCTGCAACTGAAGATAGCACCAAATCCTATTATAGCATCTCACAGTACTCCAATAGTCAATCTGATAACTGAGACAGCAGCTCAGAGACTAATGGGAAGGTAGCATATATGATGTGGATACACTATACATAGGGATGATTCATATCCTGGAAGAGATGGAGTACATAGTGCTATATTTTATCATGCTCCTCAGAATAATGTAGAATTCAAAATTTACGAATTGTTCATTTCAGGAATTTCCCATTTAATATTTTCAGATCTCAGTTGACCATGGGTAACTAAAACCACAGAAAGCAAAACATTGGATAAAAGTAGACTACTATATACATAAGACATTTCCACTCTTCAAGCAAGAAAACTTGGAGGATTAATTGTATGTATAAGATTTTAATCCTCTGATATGTGTCCAACATCATTTTACTGAAGTGCAGTTCAAAAGCAACAGGATAGAAACTGGAAGATTGGGCAAGATTGTACCTGGACTTCCTTTGCATATGACTGTTGGATTGGAAAGGATTTTCCTTTTTAACAACTTTTTCCCTTCCAAATATAACCCCAAGCTGCTCTGTTCACTTCTCATTGTATGCCTTCAGTACTTTATGGATTTCCTTTGCCTTGGAATTGTCTAACACACGCTGCTTTGTGATTGTCCTTTTTTTCTGATAAACCAGAAGCTCCCAAGCACTGGGTCTTGCTGCCTGTAAGCCAGTACTTCCTAAAGGCAGAGAAGGTTTCCCAACGTGGACACTCAAGGGCAGAGGCTCCTGCCTTCCCCAACCCCAGTCCCTTGGAGAGGGGCAGCTGTTTATCGGACTGAACTCAGTTGACCATCCAGCCACCTGGGGGCAAACCAGCTTGCTCTTCACGGGAAGGAATTTTATCATGGTGAGATCAGATTCACAGAACAGAGTCCACCGGGAACTTGTAAGTGGCTCATTGATCTGTTTCTTCTCTTTGCTCCCACTTACTCTTCTTGTCCCGTCTCTTTCTCAGGCTTGTTTTCTGTAACCTAGTCTGAAAGGCTCGAACATGGAAGAAAATCTTCTACATCTGCCTTGTATATTTTTCACAGGCTAAAATAAAACAAAACCAAGCAGTAAAATATATTGCACAGTCCTGGCACTGGCCTGGGAGTGTCTGCGGTGGGCGGGGTCACTGCTAACAGACGGAGCTGAGGGGAGGGTTGTGTGGTGACTGATGCCTACTAGGAAGTTTCAGAGCCCCTTCTCTGAGCTTCCTTGTCTCATATAGGCCCAAATGATTTGGATCCATTTGGGGTAATTTCTTGGCCTGGAACTGTCCCCCAAATGCTTTTTAAAAATGAATTGGCTGTATTTAGCAGAGTAGTGTTTTTAATAGCTTGAAAAACCATATCCAGATGCTCAGCACAAAGGAGGAGGCCCCTTCCCTCCAACTCAGAGCCTGCCCCAGTGATCCTTAGCCTGGTCCCTCCCATCTGGACAGCTGCCCTGAGTCCTCTGGGGGGCTACCTTGGGAGGCCGCCCGGGAGCTCCAACTGGCCGCAGCTCCAAGGAAGGCAGGCAAACCATCTGGAATGCATCGTCCAGCTCGGCTCCATGCTGCCCAGGCACCCTGACAGCTTTTTGGGTCCTTGTGAGGCTTGGATTTCATCCATCCGCCTTCACCAGAGACCTCCAGACTTCTCTTTGACTCCTTCCAGAATTTGGATTCCACAGAGGCACAATTAGACCTGCTAGTCACTTCCAAGTTTGGCTTTCTCAGGAGCAGGACCAAGGTATACTCTGAGAGACACCTTCCGGCAGCTTTTGGTCCAGGAACAAATAAAGAAGGGGAACATTTTCAGCAAGGGCCCTCTGTCCATCTCCCTTTATTCCCACTGCGGTATCCCAGCCATCCACCCCGGCCTTCTTGACTGATACTTGTTTGGGAAGGAAATTCATCCCATCTCAGGTCTTCAGGGAGTCTTAGAAATGGCAACCTGGCTCTCCCAGTTATCTCCACACCATGCAAGTTTTCCTTGGGAGAAATAAGAAGATAAAATCTGTGAAGTGGGGAAGGGATTAGGAAGAAGTTTGCAATTATTCTCAAATCAAATCTGTAGAAAAGGATTGAGTGTTTAAATGTTTCTTCTTTAAAACCATAAATCTCTGCAAGTTATCATGGATTTATTGCAATTATTTCTTTAGGGTGACAAACACTTTGTTAATATGCAAAAAGTACAGATTAGTCCCTTCTAAAGTCTAAAATTCTTCCTACCACTTTGTACTCCTGATTGGTTTCATTTCCCCCAAATTCCTGCCGGCGGGGCGCAGATTCCAAGTTAACTGGGTCTAAATTAAAGAGGGCCTACTGTGCCTATCAAGCTCATTTTCTCAAATGGCTAGAGTAAAAAAGATACTAGAATTATCTCATTTCATGTCCCTGCACAAATCCCTCACCCAGCAATCGCAACAAGCATTCTTCCCCATGTCTTCAGCCCGCTATTAGCTACGGCTCACACCGCTGCTGCTGGCCAGGTGGAACCAGCAGATTGCAGCCTGGAACCAAGATATAATGCTGCTAGGTGCGCCTGCATCTCCGCAGACCATCATGGAGCAGGCCCATCTGTTATGGTTGATACATTGTGTCAACTTGGGGAGTCTAGAGGTTTGGCTAAGTAATTTAGCAGGAAGCCAGAGTATACAAAGCTTACTTTGTATACATCCTGAGCCTGTGGAAGAGGAGGGCAAAGATTATGTGAGAGCTACACGCCCCTTAGGTGGGGGTAGCCTGTTTACAAAGTAAGGAGGGAAAGAGGCTGCTTGCTGCCATTCCTTCCGTTTGCTCTGGCTGTTTGCTGTTCGGCTGCCATTCCCCCCTTTGGTCTTGTTGCTTTGCTATCTTCTGCCTTGGAGCTAGCCAAGTATGGACTGAAACCTCCACAAACTGTAAGCTAAATAAACCTTTCCTTCCTTCATTTTGGGCGTTGGGTATTTTGTCTCAGCAGCGAGAGAAAAGTAACTAAGATACCACCCTTATGTGCATTACCCTGCTTTCTCAACCCCAAGCTATCACCACATGCTATGCAAGCATAACAAGACCTGGGGTAAAGAGGAGGTCATATTACCCCATTGCAGGAAAACCGAGCAGGGAGCGTCCTCTGGCCACTGTGTGGACGGATCTCTTATGGGCTGCCCTCCTGCCCCTCCAGGTTCCAGTCCTTTGTGTCACTCAAACCACCCCAACCTTCTCCAGGATCCTCTCTTCCATTTTCTCCATCACCTCCGTTATCTACCCATTTTTATTCAGAACCACTTAGCAACTCTACCTTCTCACAGACCATGGCCTTCCCTATCAAAGGACGCCTGCGGGGCATTGCGGTCGGTCCGGGTCCCCAGAAGGGAAGTACTTTCCCTCAGTAGGATCTCTCTGTGCTAGATCTCCCTGGTAAAATGCAGCAAAGTGGCAAGGGCGAGGTGGAGCTGGGAAAATGGTCAACACAAAAGCTGGCCCTGGAAGTGCCAGGGGCAGGTAGACAGGCAGCCCGAGGTCAGTCTCAGCTTTGATTTTATACCAAGTTGAACCTGAGGTTTCCGATTTGTTAGGGAGAGCATAGCTCCAGGGAATTCAAGAGGCAGTCAGAACTCAGGAGCCCTGACCTCGCTAGGTAGAGGGTTGTGGGCTGCAGGACGCAGCCTCCCCATTTGAGTACAGGTCAGCACTCCATCCCAGGAATGAGGGCGCCCCACATACCCCATGAGTGGATCATTCGGAGTGAAGTTTCAGTGTCACAGGGGCAGGACAAGGAGGTGAAACGTTGGACACTAACTAAGGTCAGAGTTTGGTGAACGTGGAAGATGTACAGAGAGCCACAGCTCAGGGCTAGTGTGCGGACCCAGCGTCACTGCGGAGGCCTCACATCTCTTCCTCTTTTACCAATGAGGCCGCTGGGGGAGTCACATAGACTGAGGCCCTTAGGAGCGGGCACCTGGCTGTGGGAATATGATCTGATGTTGGGTGAGTGGGCTGGGCTGGGCTATTTCTGTCCTGATCGGCAGGGCCAGTTCTGTTGGGCTAGGGAAGGCAGAGGACACAACATGGACCCTGGTCCTCATCAGCCATAAAGGAGAACATGTTTATTATTAGAATAGCACCTCCCTGGCATCCTGGCCACGTGCCAGCCTGGCATGGTGGGGGAAGCGCTGGAAAAGGAGTCCAGGAGTCTCTGGGCTGTTCTGGCTCTAATCAGTAACTAACTCTGAACCTTTGATATATATTTTCATGAACTGCTGGGCTCTGGTTTCTTCACTGGTGAAATCAGGAAGTTGGGCTCAATCGGCAGCTGTCAAAATATGGTCCTGAGGTTGGTAGCATCAGTTTCACCTGACAGTTGACATGTTCTCATTATGTCTCCCTGTGAGAAAGGCAGATTTTCAGGCCAGACTCAGACCTATTGAATCAGAAACACCGGCAATGGAACCCAGAAATCCATGCTTTAACAAGTCCGCAGGTGATTCCAATGCGCAGCAAGGTCTGAGAAGAAATGGGCTAAATAATTTCCAGGTCTTTGTGTGGGTCTGTTAGGAGAGATGAAATCAATCTGCCTGTTTCCGTCTGTCTCTCTCCTTGTCTGTCTGTCTGTCTGCCCCCAACCCCCAGCAAGCCTCCCGCAAGCAGTACACAACTTGGCCAGTAAAACCCCCAGCCTTCTATTCTGGTAGTTAAAAGTCCCGCTTCCCCCAGCGGGTCTCAGCTTCGTCCTCTTTCTCCTCAGCCTGTCCCTAATCCCAGAGCCTGCCTCTCTGCAAGAGATGCTTTAGTGTTCTGTCACCAGGTGGCAAATTGTACCATAAATTCTTGTCTCCTCTACCTCCTGCCCAATTAGCCAGAGGTAAGAGAGGAAGATTTACTCTTTCCCACAAGCAAGGTCACAACCTGAAGTTGTCATGGAAGCCAGCTTCCATCCTGGCTCTCCGTTGGCTGCTGCAGCGGATTGGCTCATAGGCAGATGGCTCTGCCTGGTAGCAGGGATTTCATAGGCAAGGCGACACGGGGAGGGTAACCAAAAGGGAAGAATAGCTGTGCTAAGCCTGTTGCCTTCTGGTTAAAAAAAAAAATTTATAGATCTATTTATAACTTGTCTTGCTCCACAAAGGATTTGAGGCGGCTGCCTTCCTTGTTGGAAAATCCTTGATGCCAGTACTTGGCATCTGATACCATAGAGTTCCTGGCCCAGAGGAAGGGGCCAAGCCTTTCTTGTTCACTCAGACTCTGTGGAGGACATAATGGGTACTCCAGGCAGCCTGTTCTAGAATATTCTTCCTGCTTGTCTCCGCAGAGAAAATGCAGTCACCACGATCCTGTTTTTGTTTTTACATGGCATAACACAGCTTTACATTTTTCCTTACAGGTCACATAAACAAGATTCACTAGGAAAACGCCCAAAAGCTCAGTCTGAGAAGTAGTTGTCCAAGATCATATGTAAAGGGAATTCTTCAATTTTCTATGGTGATCTCTTCCTCCTAGGCAAAGGCCTACTGAAGAATTATCAGTTGTGTGATTACTTAGGAACTGATTTGGGTTGTAGGTACATTGAAGTCAGTTAATACATGTTATATGCTTAGAAGAAAGCCAGAGCCATAGTAAATGCTAATAATTCAAGAATTACCTCAATCTCTTTCTCTCTTTCTCTGTCTGTGTCTGTCTGTCTGTCTGTCTGTCTGTCTCTCTCTCTCTCTCTCTCTGAATAAACATATCCAAGTCCCTATTAAAACCTCCCCAAAGGAGGCTAATGGTAAAGGTTTAGTACTTTGATGTTGTCCTCGGGCCAGCAGGCTAGCAGAGACCGCCACAAACCCCACTTTGACCTGAGCTGAGCTTCCTTCCACATCCAAGGTGTCGTGCTCCGGCTTTCAGAGACTGTGGGCCCTGGACCTCAGATATGGCTGAGCCCTGGCACCAGC